TTTTTTTTTTTTTTTTTTTTTTTTTTTTTTTTTTTTTTTTTTTTTTTTTTTTTTTTTTTTTTTTTTTTAACGAATCCATCTTTTCAAAACAAATGTTGATGTTCTTGTGACATCCACAAGATGGCATGCAAGGAGTTCTTTTTCAGCATCTGTGGGTTTGGTCAAAAGGTTTACAATCTCGGTCACCAAGAAGACCTTGAGAAATACTAAGTCAGGTTTTCGTTTAAGAACTACAGGGTTACATAATTTCACAGAAGTCTAACCAATGCCTTCTGTCACATTCTGTCAAATAGTTGAAACATTTTTAATTTTTATCAGTTTTCATGATGGTTAGTTGTGATCCATCTTAAACATTAGCCCTCTATACTATGTCCTTGTTTTTCTTTTGTTATTAATTATATCTAGTTCATCTTGGAGAGGGGGATCTTGAACGAGTAGAATTTAATTAACTAAAATTTAGAGTACTTAATTCTACTAAAATATAATAAAGTTAGTAGACATGTTTCTTCCAAAAGCGTCATCAAATTTTAGTGATGAGCCACATCTGCTAGCACTGTCAGTCAACAGAAGAACAGTTTGATAGTTCCTACTTACTGTGCAGTGAGAAAACTCAGGTGCTATTTCAGGCAGCTAGGGAGGAACTTCTGTTCCCTGCTTATACTACTTTACCTACAGTTATTGTTGTTAATGGAGAGCATTTATATTGTTTTCCTAGGATATATACACAACCTTAGAAACCAGAATAAAGAAAACAGAGGATGTGTTATATGTAGAGCCCATGTCAGGTTACTTAACTGAATATAAGCTTTGCGGATTCATCAGTCTAAGCAATATTTATTGCACTGCAGAACATAATCTGTTCCTGTTGTTTTGCAGTAAAACATGAGACTCGTATCACATCACAACCCTGTGTCTCCTGCTCTCATGCTGCAAAAGCCTGCATTTCTATGCAGGGTTTAAGGTGAGAGCAGGAATATCCTGTTTCCTCCATGTGATATGGAAAAATAGCAAAACCAAATCTGTTGGATACTGGGATATTCTAGCCAGACTGGAAATTCTGGTTACACTAGGCTCAGTGAAATATTCAGGAGCTGACTCAGAGAAAAAAATGCCATGTAGGAAAACTAGTAGCATTTTATCCAGCTCCTTGGAAGTTTCCATTCCCAGAGTGACAAAACTCTCATTGATTCAGGAGTTCAATTCAAGGACACTCTGGCAGTCCTTACTATTAGTGTGCTGAAACCAGGTGATGAAATCAAAGATATGTACTAAACACTCTTGTAAGAATGTCTAACAAATACCTGCTTTGAAAGTGTTTTTTCTGTGTTTTAGTCTGGAATAGGAAACCACAGAAGTGATTTTTTTTTCTTCTTCTTTATTATTTTTTACAGTCTAAAGTTTTGTTCTAGTTAAGGAAACTTAGGTATTTCTCCCAGGAGAAATACCTGAACTTGAATGTAATGGCTACCGAGACTGCATTGATTACAGTGAAGCAACAGGTATGATTAATGTCTGCATAATAAGGCATAGTTAAATTATATACTGAGCATCTTCTGGTAATGACTGATCATTCTAGCAACTACCATTTGTATGGCACTAAACTGTGTATGAGAGGAAAACTTGTTTGATTACTTACTGATTCATTTTGTATATGGCAGAAATATAACATAAAGGCATAAAGCCTTGTGCTTTTTTGAAAGTTTATATCTACGTGTTCAAAAATTCCTTCAGCTTTTGAATCTCTATTTCTCTCGCTACTGCCTTTTCTCCACAACAAAGCCTCAACTAGCTTCTTGAAAATGCACAGCACTGCTTTCAACTAGCTTCCTCTTTTCTCTGCACAGCATTGTATTGTGCCATGTGTACCTGCTTCATGTTTAGTGCTCAAAATCCTTGAAATTTTAATCCTGCTGAAGAACACAAGCTTTGCTTTTTTTTTTAATGTCGTCTTTAAATGCATTTTAAATCCCTCCCAATTTGTCCATATTCCAAAAATAGTTTAATAGATGTCTTAGATTAAATAACTGTGACCTAAGTAGCTCTACTTAAGTTGAGTCATAATGATGATCATCTGAATGTCAGGTATATATCACACATATTTTTTTTCCAGCCACAGCTGGCCCAGATCAAAATGTTTGTAATGAGTCAATCCCATATTATAAAAGCAATTAAAATCTTTGATTTAGATTTCTAATCTGCTACAAAAGGAAAGATACAACATAGCCTGATTAATGGTTTGGCACAATCTTCAGGAGAATCCTACCAACAGAGGCTTTGCTGGCACATGAAAAGTAATACAGGGGAAGGCATCTCAGGCAATTTACTACCTTGAAGATAACTAAAAGAGATTCTCATATGTTTGAGAGTCACTGTTACAAAATACTTTGAATTTCTCAATAATCAACATGGATTGCTACCAGGAATCCCACAATGAAATGTAGAAGAACAAGACTGGGGATCTCAGTGATGTACCTTAGGAGATATTTACTGTATTGTCGTGACCTGTGCAATGCCTAGCAGGTGGAAAGATGTTAGACAACTTGGAGGTTCTTGTCAAGCTATTTTTGAACAGTATTGCTGCAGAAATTGTGTGTAAGCAGTAACCATGTGTTACAGGATGTAGTTAGCTGAGGTCTGTTAAGAATGCCACAAAAAATGGGAGAGATTTTTCAGCTCATTAAATTGAAGAAATATCAGAAATAACTTCTTTTCAGATTTTGGTGAATCTGCACCATTTCTGTTTCTGATGAGTTGGAAAGCAAGCAAAAATTATATACCAAAATATTTTCTGACCTAGAACTTAATACCACTGGGTTCTTAATTTCTGGGCTCTTCATGGGGAAGAATAGAAGGCAGAGGTGCTAAAGGCTTAAAGAAAAGATAAGAAATCTGTCAAAAGGAAGAGCCTGTTAGATGTGCATAAGCTTAAATGGGAATAAGTACAGAGATAAAATGAGCAGATATCTGATGTTTATGAAAGTTCATGAGTTTGGGAAGACATTGCAAAAGAAAGTAAACCAGTTTGTCAAAACAGTTGTCTTTACTGCAAGATCATA